ACAGACATTCCAGTTAATGGAATCAATGATGGCGTTATTTTGACATTCAATCGATCTGATATTCGCAGAACCTAAAAATGCCAATAAACTTGTTCTTTTGTTTTTTTTTTTTTTCACGCTAGAAGTAAAATGATTGAATACTAACGATGATAGCATGAAAATTGCAAATGAATTGATTTTATTTTGTGAAAAACTTAAAATTCTTGTTTTTCCCACTAATTCGTCATTTTTCATAATTATTTTTCCACGACCAGCTATTTTCGTATGATCAACTATTTTTATCCACGATTCATGATCAGCTATTTTTATTTTCCGTAATTAATTTTTTATAGTCAGCTGTTTCCGTTATTAATTATCCAGGAATTATTTACTGTAAAATTTGGAATTTCGAATGAAATAAGCAAAAATACAATATAAAATATAAGATATTTTTTCATTTTCCTTTTCTCTCATTTATGAATTCTTATAGTTTTGTTTTGTTTTGCCTTTTCTTTTTTTTTACTTCTGCATCTTTCAATCCGATAATTTCAAATTGTTTATTCAGTTTGGAAATTTACCTGTAGTTAGATTAATATTATTATTTCGCAGTATTATTGAGTTTGTTGACAGCACTTATTCATTAATTTGTGCTCTAGTCATCGATTGCATTATTTGTTGCTTTGATTTTTCGTTAATCTGGCGACACTCTTTCCTTTTTTTTCCCATAAAAAATTCAATTGAAAGAAACTTGAGAAACTTGATATCGTTTTATTTCTTTCCATTTTCGAAACAACGAAAAAATTATTAAGCGGTGGAAAAAATATAATTAATGTGAAAAAATTTTGTTGCTAAAAAAAATCGATAGTAAATCGCATTCGCATTCCATTTTAAATATTATTTTACTGTGGATAAGGCACACTTTAGCAAAAAATTGGCTCTTATATTATTCTCGTTTCTGCATCGAGTAAGTTTCTATATCTCATAACAAGTTAATTTACCCACTTTTAATATGCCGTGAAATGCAGTACGTAATTTTAGGACTGGACGATCAAGTATGATTCTTTGGATTCACCATTACCCTCACGATCAGATGTTAACGCGTCCGATTTATATATTCCGTTAATGGTATAAAATTTAATAATATAAAATTGATATAACAATATAAAGTTAATAATATAAAATTTAATAATATAAATGATGTAACTTGAATTTGAATGAATGGGCATCATAGATTATCATGTCAGTTATTTTTGTTCGAAATATGAGGATGATGCTACGATTGGTGAAGAAAAAGTAACAAATATGATTGTATTTATAAAAGGTTTTCATCAATTAATCCCTATACACCCATTGGTTTATTAAAATTTTAATAAAGGTGTTTTATAAAGACTTTATGAAGTCTCAGAATGTAATGAAGAAAGTTTTTAAGACAATATAAAAACCAATAATAACTGCAGTAACCAATACGAGTTAATAACGATAATAATAATAATTAATATTATTAGTAAAACAAGGAAGTAAGAAATGTATGATAATAATTGTTATTAAAAATGAGTGTATGGTGATCAATCGATGATATTTATTATCATTAGTAAGAAAAAAATGTATGACAGTAGCAATAATTACTATTAATATTATTAGTAAAAATTAGTAACAATAATATAAATATTAATATTGAAATTTGACCAATTTGACCAATGTTGACCAATTCACCTATTCTATATACACGGAAAAATTTTAAGTCATCATATATTGTCGATGAAATATTTCATCCTTATTGATCCATTTCAAATTGAACCTTCTAATTTCAAACGTTAATAATTTCATATTAAATTTCATTTCTTGAAATTTTTGGAAGATCGTTGGTTGAGAAAATTATGAGGAAAGGAAAAGTGATAATACGGTTAAATAGAATGCGTCATTAATTTTTTGTGCTACGCATCGTCACTTTGCTTAGTTAATCCAACGTTTCACTCTCATCAGTGTTCAACCATCGAATTTAGCATCAAAGTGTCGCGTAATTTTATTGTCATCATTCCCCGATCACTAGGGTAGATTTGACATTAGTCAACTTTTTATAGTCAACAACTTTTAGTAATGAAAGAAAAAGCCGAGAGCAAAAATATGAATAGTAAGAAAATTGATGGTATGAGAAGGGAAAAAGACTGATTTAGAAGCCTACAGGAAAAAACTGAAAACATTTAAACAAACGCAAAGGAGATAAACTTTGATCCTTCATATGACATTTAATTAAGTATTTACGATTTTTCCTCATTTCATTTCAGTGATAACCTTTAAACGTGAACTTAAGATGGACTTGCGAAAAGAAATTGAGGAATCACAGTGGTAGCATTTTTTAATTCTGATATGAGTGAGTAACTATTTTGTGTGGCTACCTTTTATTTTTTTTTCATTTTGTTATTCAGAGTAAAGAAAGCTGCAATGCTTTGAATTGCATTGAATTCGTGAAAGAAATTTTTTAAAGTCGAGCAGTATTTGTCGATCGCTTTAATCGAGATAAGGCTATAGTGTCATTGAAGAGTGCACAGAGAAGGTTGAAGCTGAATGTTTCTACATTTCCGGAAGGCACCAGAAATCATGGTAATAGAATGATTGAATTCAAAAAAGACGCTTTCAACTTATCTGTTTTTGTAACTCTTTCATTCTTATGCAAACGAATATGGTTATAGTGCATAGAATTATATCCATTTGAAATACTATAAATAACTGCAGTATTGATATGGGCTGTGCATATTTACGTTCCAAATAATCAATGCATTAATTATTTACTTCTTTGAATCAAGGATCTGCTGATGATGTTCTCGATTGTTGGTGACCTATTCTTGGTAGCTCACGCTGCGATTGTAGGATTAAATGATTATTATATACATATATTGGCTTTTAACAGCAGCGAAAGATTTTTGTAAATTGACTAATGGATTTTTCAGGCGCAAATACCAATTGTACCAATAGTTATATCTTCTTTACAAAGGCAGTCCTATAACGAGAAC